TGCCATCTCTGCATACAAGCAACACAGCCTGTGAATGCCTTGATCTTCATTGGGGCCTTTGGGTGTTAAAACAACAGTAAATAATGAGTAATTAATAACTTGACCCATTTTTGCATAGCACCACTGATTGTGGCATATGTAGCTATAAAACCACGGTGCCTTTGTTTTCTCTATGCTGCCTATTTTAATAATAATAATTAGATTTTAATTAGGGCATTTGGGTAATATTGTATTATTTTATTAATAGTAATTATATCAAGGGTGCAGTGCACAGACAACAGACATAATGGTTTCATAGCTACATACACCTCCACTCATGGTGCTATGCAAAAACCGATCAAGTTTCCTGTAAGCTGACATATACCTTTAAAGCAGATTGAACTGAATAATAAAAGCAAGTAGCTGAGGAATGTTCCAGTCCATCAGTTTGACAGCTTCATATTGTAGGGATAAAAACTCTATCTGCTTTCTCAATTTAGAAAGGAAGAAAAAAGAGGATAAAAAAGTAGAGGAAATGGGGAGGGAAAAAGTAATCTTTAAGAGGCTGGTTGAAAAGCATCAATTGAGTGTGCAGGGTGCAGTTTTCTCCACAGGTTTATTGCAAAATCATTTTAAAGAGGAACTTTCGTACCCAGGTAAAGCCAGGGAAAGAACATCTCATCCCCAAAAGGCAATTTATTTTGCCATCAGTTTTCTGTGCTTTCCCCTTTCCTGTAATTGCAACGTTTGGCACTAGAATAAAGAGCAGTTATGCCTCGTACTAACTACATCCCCATGGGTTTGGGGCATTGCTGCTGCCCATTCACATGCAAGTGATGTCACAAATTCAGCCTGATGCACTCTCTGCCAGACTGAGTGGGAGGAGCTCATGGGCTGGGGAAGAAAATCAAGTCACCAGCTGAATGGCAGATTTAACAAGTGTGCGTAATTTTGCCCTTTAGACCTTAAGGGCAAAAGCCCCTTGAAGTGAGTAGGAGTTTTGCTGTTGATTTCAGAACATCTCTCTCGAGGCTTGCTCTTGAGATTGGATCCACATGGGTAGACCCCAGTGCCCTCAGGAGGGCCCACAGAACAGGCTCTGCTAGGCATATTCAGTTGCTGGATCTAGGCCTATGTTTCTTGGGGAAGGGTCAGTGCCTTCTTTGTCTGAGTTTTGTACAGCGCTGAGCACCCTGTGGGAGTTCAACAAATAAATAACTCTGTAATGGACTAGCAAGTGTGGGTGTGCAGCACTGCCCCCTGCTGGCTGGAATGGGAACTGCAGCTCAGCATGCCATAGGTCCTATGCTGTTAACAGCCATTCTCTTTCAGCACAAGTGCTGGAGGCGGGTGCTTTTTGGTGCACAGAGCTACTGCTTCTGTGAAGTTCAGCCACGAAGACCTAAGTAGCCGGTCTTTTATTACCCCTTCTGCAGTATGTGAAACACCACTGCAGATCATTCCTCCATCTCCTCCCCTTCTCCCACCACTGTGTGCCCCTCGTGCAAAAGAGAAACTCTGCAAGAGTTAGGGTGACCAGACATCCTGATTTTATCGGGACTGTCCCGATATTTTCTTGTTTGTCCCACGTCCCATCCTACCTTTGGTTGGGATGTGAATTGTCCTGATATTTTGCCTCTGCTCCTGCACAGAGGTGGAGCCTGGAGGGGGCTCGTGCCCCCCCGACTCCGCCCCCTCCTTCCCCCATTGGATCCCTCCCCAAATCCCCGTCCTGGCCCCGCCTCTTCCCCAACCACGCCGCATTCCTCCTCCTCCCCCCTCCCTCCCAGGCTTGCGCTGATCAGCTGTATGGCGGCGCTAGCGCTGGAGGGAGTGGGAGGTGGTGAGGACAGGGAAATTGGGAGGTCAAAGCTGCTGTGCACCTAGGTGAGGGCCCGTGATGCAAGGCAGAGCAGGCTATGGGGGGCGGGGGGCCGTGGAGTGAGGGGCAGGGAGCTTGGCGAGGCGGCGGCGGCAGCAGCCATGTCGCAGGCGTGGTTCCCCCGGAGTCTCGGAAGTTCACCCGGGGGCTCAGCAAGCCGGGCACGGCGGCCGAGCTGCGGCAGAGCGTCTCCAAGGCAGTGCAGGGCTCCGTGTTCGCGGTAAGAGCCCGGCCAGGCAGGGACTGCAGATACTAACCCCCCACCACCACCACCCCTCAGCTCCGGTTGAGCGGCTGCAGGAACAGTGCCCATCTCTTCCCGCACAGGGGGCCGGGGGGCATCCCCACTAGGGTGAGTGGGAGCCAATTGCCTCCCCTGCCACCAGGGAGCTCTCTCCACCGGGCACCGGGGCCTGATGCTACCGCCGAGTTCCCCGCATCAATAGGGCTCTGATGCCCGCGGCGGGAGGGAGCCGCCAGCTGTCACGGCGCGGGGCTTGCCCCCGGCTTGCGGTGGGGCACGCCGCACGTGCCTCCTGTTGGGCCACAGCTCTCTGGCCCGGGCTGTGTCGTCGGTGCAGCCCAGCAGAGAGCCAGCCAGGGACGCTCCCTGTGTGGGTGGGAGGCGCGGCGGGGCTCTCCGCCGGCACAGCGCTGGGAGTCGCCGCCGCGACTGCAAACTTCCATCCAGTCACAGCGTGTTTCCGTAGCGCTGTGCGTTGCGTGGAAGTCTGTGGGTGTGTCTGAAGAACTGGTTCAAAAGGAGGTGCGATGGCACTTTGTGTGCCCTCCTCACCATGGTAACGCGTGTGCTAGGTCGTTCCTCTTTATCTCTTTTCTGAAATCTTCCTAACCCCGGAATTAGACCCAGATGTATCACTAGAGACGGAGCAGAGGCAAGCTGGAGGGGAGGGCGGGGGTTTTGTGGAGCTCCAGCGGCTTTTTTGTTTTGTTTTGTTTTGCTCTGCCTCCCTCCCCACCCCCCACCCCCAGGCGTCCCAATATTTCACCTGTGTGATCTGGTCACCCTAGCAAGAGTCTCAGTGGGAAAATAGGGTTCTACTTTTCCCAAAATCCTGAGGTCTGATGACTAGTTGATGGAGTGGGTTAATGCGCTAGGCTTTCACACTGCTGGACTTTCATGTGGTCTCTCCAGACCACATGAAGTTAAGGATCCATCTACCATGCAAACTTGCCATGTCAGGGGGTCTTACAAGTCAAGTCCCCTGACATGGAGACAAGAACCAAATCCTTTCCCAGCCCTGGTCTTGGCAAGTGCAGCTTAAATGAGTGGCTGCAGTCTGGTCTGCTGGCTAATGGACCTCTGACCATGCTCTGCAAACTAGGAGTGACTCTACTGACGTCCAATGGACTGACGCTGGTGTGAAACTAGTGTCGGTGAGAGCAGACAGTCAGGCCCAGATACACATCCAGTTCACAAAACCTGCAGCCCCCACATCATGGGATACATTGAGATACAAATGCTAGCGCCTGGTCAAGGCAAGGCCAGCAGTGGAGTAGCAGCAGAGGCTGGGGGGTGGATCTGCTGCAGTTTGTTTTGCATGTCAGTATTGATGTGGCTTGGCAAAGGGGGAACGAGGGAAACAGACAGGATTAGAAGAGCAGGGGGCTGTGGCTCAGGACTGAGGGGCATTGACAGAGCTGGGGGGCGGAGGCGGCTCAGGATTGGAATAGCAGGGGGCTCCTGGTATGGACTGAGGGGCATTGGCAGAACTGTATGGAGGGGAGCAGAGAAAAGTTTACAGAGCCCCTTGCATTATACTTGGCCTTAGTCCTTGCTCAGAGGCCTCTATTGTCATGAGTATTAAATTAAAGCAGAAAATAAAGAACGGAAAAGCTAAACAAAATGGGGGTGGGGGTGGGAGAAGGGCGTGATTACCTCTTCCTAGAAGCATTTTCACAAGGAACAAAATGGGGAATGACTCAGGGTAATACACATGCTTAACCAGACTGAATAGATCTCTGCCCAGCAAGGGGTACCTGAAACAAAACACACCCCCAGCCATGTCTTTTACTTTCCATTTAACTTTCAGGATAATGCCCTTAAATCACATTCATCAAAAGGGTTCTGGTTCCCTGTCACCACAGCCAGTTACCAAGATTTTTTTTGTAATTAGCAGGAGGCGTGTAGTTGTTTGCATCAAATAACAATAAATGAATTGTTGGCCTGAGAGCTGGGTGTTTATCCACAGAATAAATACAGCATGGGCAGTCCGCGCTTCGCAGCCCCTACACGTAGGGGAAAGAGAGGAAGGAGTTGATGTCTTTATGGCCCATTCACTCCTTGGTCTCTCTCCTGAGTCTGCCAATTACAGGGTAGATTTTGTAATGAGGATCTAGAGAACAGTCAATACCTTTCATACAAGACATTCTCCACCTACCAACCATTGCTGAGCTGGGGTTTGACCCAGAGGCTGAGGTCAAAGGCACTTATCCTTTGCCAAGTCCCTTCAGTTCTCTAAGTCCAGGGGTTCTCAACCTTTTTTCTTTCTGAGCCCCCCCCCCCCCAAACTGCTATAAAAACTCCCCGGCCCACCTGTGCCACAACAACTGTTTTTCTGCATATAAAAGCCAGGGCAGCATTAGGGGTCGCAAGCAGGGCAATTGCCTGGGACCCCACACCACAGGGGACCCTGCAAAGCTAAGTTGCTCAGGCTCGGCTTCAGCCCCAGGTGATGGGTCTTGGGGCCTTAGGGTTCAGCCCTACACAGTGGGGCTTTGGCTTTCTACTCTGGGCCCCAATGAGTCGAACGCCAGCCCTGCTTGCTGGACCCCTGAAACCTGCTTGTGGCCCCCCTGGAGGCCTGGTTGAGAACTGCTGCTCCAGTCCCCCTAATGTAGAAGATCTTGACCAGCTAACGCAGATAGCTCAATTCATGAAAAACAGAGGATGAGAGCAAAAGGAATAGCTAAAAAGTGACTTTTGTGGGATTGGAAAAACCTAACCCTCCCAAAGAGGGGAATCTTAGCTTGAGTGCCCTTGTGAGGTTGGAGCGATTATCCTCCCAATGGAGTGAGGGACAGAGGCCCAGATACTCAAAGGTATTTAGGTATTGAAGTCCATGGGAATTAGGCACCTACATACACCTGAGGATCTGGATTTCAATTTCTTTTACAGTCTCTGGTTCGGCTTTCTGGAAGAGTACAACCAGGCAGCACTAAACTGTCAACGTGTCTGGACCAAGCCTCGCACGGGGAAGCCCTGATCTCAGGTAGGGCTCCTACGTACTTCTGTAGTACTAATAATGGGAATGTCATTTTCATGTAAATTCTGTGCTGGGTCTGAGCCCTTCTCCCTTTCCCTTGTTTCTTCATTCTGAGACAGGGATCTTTAGTCCCGAGGATGGGTCATAGGCATAGGCTGCGGGGGCCTCTGGAGCCTGGTGACGTACTCATTAGAATGGGCAGATGCCGCCGGGCTGCTGCCAAGGCTGAGGGCAGCATCTTGGGAATTGGTTAAACATCTCAGTTTCTCTAGAGATGAAGAGCAATGTTCTGGGAACTGAAGGATGTTCCCAGCCCCCAACAGCTTAATCGAATCAGCCGTACTTGTCCTGGGTCACAGGATGGATTGGACCAGGGGTCTGTGCAGACCCAGCAAACTAACCAGGAAAACTCCAAGACCCGCTTCTCCCATGCACATAGTCCAAGGAGCATGCAGTGCAGGGGCTGAAATCAGCGCTATGGCGAGAGAATCAGGCCAGCCACAGCGACGAAGCGGGGGAGCTCTAGCTGGGCCATTCAACAAAGTTGTAAGGGGAGATGGCATATTTAAACTGTGAACATTGCACCGTGTCCCCTTATGAATGGGCTGTCATGGATTAATGCTCTATTGCCCAGGCTGGCAACTGGGAGTGAATCACACAGCCAAGCAAACAGGGAGAGATATAATTCTTCCCCCTCTGCCTTTCCCGGAGAATACAGACCGAAGTCCTGGGCCCAGATGCTGACAGGTGAGAAGGAGCATCCGGCTACAGCCGGTGATCTTTGTCATGATCACGTGTTTGTCAAGTGAAAATGAATGGATGGCTTCAACGCTAATTCGAAAAATGTCTGTCTGTCAACCTGAATCTGCATTTTTTTGGCCAAAAAAATCCATCCAAACATTTCTGCCCACGTCTCTCCATGGAGACAGGCTGGGGCCTCTGCATCGTACCGACCCAGGGCATCATGCAAGGAAAATCGTGATGAGCCAGACAGGAACCCTGCCCTGTATTAACGGAACTGGTGCACATGGCTCTCAGCGTACCCCTGCCCCCCACCAGTGGTGAGGCTAAGATGGGAGCACGTAGCTAAGGGCCCCATCAGAAGAACACGATTAAGCCCATGTCTCTTGTCACATGTCCAGCCTTCAACCCCACCCTGCACACATGTGTCTGGAAGGGAGCAGCTGTGCAAGGGCTTGTCTTCCATCTTTTCACCAGTTAGAAAACAATAAGAAAACACTGAAAGTGCTGCTTTCAGAAAAGAAGGAACACAATCCCTTTTCAAAGTGACACTAAAGTCTTGTCTAAACACAAAAGTTGCACTGCTTTAATGACACTGGAATAGTAAAAGTGGCACACATCCCATAAACGCCTGTCCCAGTTATGGCGGCATAAATGTGCTTGTCCCAGTAGAGCTAATTCCCATTTAGGGAGGAGAATTACTGTACTGTTATAAAGCACCTTTATACTGGTGTAAGTAGAGTCAGAATGGGCTCTACCCTGACATTTGGTGGTGAGCCGTGGAAAAGGACTTCAGGGGCTGATCTCGTTTGCATGGCACACCCACCCTGCCTAACATGAGGGACTGCCTGCCCAAATGGTCACTTTGGATGTTGTGGGATCCCCAGTTTCTCTGTTATTGGGGCAGGAAGAATAAATTGTTGTTACTCTGATTATGTGAATCAAGGACAGTGGAACTGTTTTATAACAGAGGGACTCACCATCAACTAAGTAGCACTCGCTAGACAAGAGACATGGGTTCCAAAACCCAGTGAATTGAGAGAGGCTTGGGATAGGTATTTATGCCTAGTGGTGTGGGCCCTGTTTGAGGGCCTGAAACACCAACTGCACCTCCTCCTCTGTCCACTGTGGACTATCAGAGCTAATTTTGATTCTATTAGGAGTCTAACTACAGGCTTCTGAGCTGAATTCATTTTGGACAAAGCACCAAGGCTCCCCTACTACTTGCTGAAATTGAGTGCTGTGTTAAGTGGCAGGGGGGCTGAAGATATATTGTGGAGTGGCTGGTGGAGCAGAGCAGTTTGCGGGACAGCTGGTGGAGTGGCTGGCAGAGTGGAGCAGTTTGTGGGACGGCTGCAGTGGCTCATGGGACGGCTGGTGGAGGGGAGTGGCTGGCGGAATGGCTCACGGTGAAGCCTGCAGCAGAACCCCACAGAGAGGTGGGACAGTAGGCCTTGGACCAGTCCAAACAGCTGTGGCTCTCAGGAAGTGTGAGGAAATAGAGAATGTAAGAATGGCCATACTGGGTCAGACCAATGCTCCATCTAGCCCAGTATCCCGTCTCTGTCAGTGGCCTGTGCTGGATGCTTCAGAGGAAATGCAAAGAGCAGGGCAATTATTGAGTGATCCATCCCCTGTTGTCCAGTCCCAGTTTCCGGCAGTCAGAACAAAACCACTTTCCACATTTTGTTTTCTAATTGGCTGAAGTTGGAAAACAGAGAATGGGAAAGAGTAAGTGCAGAAAAACTCAGTGTTTCAAAATTTCCCATGAGCACAGTATTGTTTCCCTATGGGAAAATGTCAAATGGGGGGAGGGGGGTGGGGTTTGTGAAAATTCCTATAGCAAAATTTCTCACTTCCGAGGTTGTTCTGATCAATAATTATGGCCCAAAGCTTTGGACTTGATCAGCTTAGCTCAAAATGTCATTAGTGGCTGGGAAATCTCACCACATTCATCCCCAAAACTGTTGTTGCAGAGAGAGATGATCTTCATAATCGCTGTTGAAAAACCATCTGAGTAGAAACACTCCTCCTGGCCGATTTCCCCAGGGCTGTGGTTCTCTGAGCATGACTTATCCCCCTTGTGCCTGGTTCAGTTTTACAGGAGGTGAATTTCATTCAGACTGCTCTGTAAATCAGTCTGGGCCATTTCCTGGCCTTGGAGTTACTGCTATGAAAGATGAGCCTGGTTTACACTGAAATTCATTCAATGCACGTGTTAGCTGGTTGGAAGGATGGACTGAGAATGACAGCTTTATGTGCCAAATGAAATATAAATCCATTGCATTCTTTGAATTGCAACCAGTCCATTGCAACAGTGTTTGCACAAATACAGTGTCCATCACATGAACAATGGGACTGGGGGAAATCCCATATTGTGAGCTCATTAACACTTTACTGTTTGTAGCAGAAAGGAGGAGGGCCAGAGGAGAGATGGGATGGATGCATTCATCTGTTTTAGAAAAAAAATCTGGAAAATTTGCAATGAAATTTTCCTACTGTTTTTGACCAACTTTAGAGCCGATCAATTTTGCTGCTTGTAAATTTGGTCTCTGTAAAGTGGTTCACTACTGCAGGAGCGCCTCCTTGTGGCCAGGCATGGTGTAGTGGCTGTCTTCCCATATGGTGCCCTCTGCTGACGATAGCTCTGTTGCTGTGGTGGTCTCTCTTCCTGCAACTTGGCTCTCGGGCCAGACCATGCTTTAGTCCACCCCTTCTGGGGTAACAGAGCCTCGAACCAAATATAGTCCAGTGACCTTACAGCAGGTCTTCTCTGGGCTCCGGGGTCCTTATGCCCCTTACCTCAGGGAGTTTCACACCACCTTCCTTGGTGGCTGGTGTGGGACCCCCGGCCCTCCCTCTACTCTGTTGCAGCCCTGGGACCCATTGTTGGCAGCCAAGGTCTACTCCCTCCAGCTCCTTGCTGCCTCCCTGGACTGCTTCCTACCTTTTCTGTCCCCCAGAGAGTGACTGCAAGCTCTGTCCCTGCAGCGCCCTTCTGCTGCAAACGTCCTGGCTGTGTAATCACCACCCATCCCCTCCCCAGCTAGTCTTTATTATCAATGAAGCCTGGTTTTCTCATTCTCTCGCAGGTGTGGCCAGGCATGTTAACTGGCCTCCCAGGCCCACCCTACTCTCTTCAAGGCCTGTCTGGGGTTCGGAGCCCATCACAGGCTCAATTTTTCAAATGACAAAATTTTGAATTTCAAAAATAATGGGATTTTTTTTTTAGGAAAAAAAGGCATGTGGGTTTTTTTATGGTCCTATCAGGCATAGAACTCAGATTGCTTGAATCTGACTCACCTCCTCAACCCGTTAGCTAACACTGGACCATGCGTGAGCTCCTGTTTAATGGCTCACAGTTCAGATGGACTTAATGCCCCTCTAGCTTTCTCCTACCAGAGGGGCAGCTGAAGCGTGCCAGATACGTGGTGTCTTTGTATCTGTTACAGCCAGGTTGGGTGTTCAGAGTGCACCGGGCCATCTGAGTGGAAAAGGGGTTGTCTAAGACTCAGTGACTATTTACTGTGTTCCCACAGGCAGAACATTCAACAGCTTTCCCAGGGTAGCACCCACCCCGGAGAAAACCCTGCCTGCTACCATTACCACCATGCAATTCATCTCCCACTGCAAAGCAGCAAGGACCCTCGGCCGGGTAACATGGTACCCCCATTGGACACCAAAATCACCAAATCGTGCCATTGGGAGCATTGGGCTGCTCTGAGCCCTCCCTTTTGGGGAAAGCATGAGCCAAGGGGGACCAATGCAGCTGCTAGCAAGAAGGTCCAGGTAAGAAGCAGCAAAAGAACTTTCTCTTGGGAGAGAAAGGAAGCAATTCCTCTTTTGAAAAGCTCAATCCTCCTGGTGCACAGGGCGAGAGGTCCCAGATTTCTGATTGTTTTCATCTATTTGCAAATCAGGAGCCACTAAAGGCAGCCACCAGCCAAAGCTGGGAAATTGGAACCTGGCTTTTTATTTATTTATTTTGGAAATGCATATTTTTGATTCTAGCCTGTTCCAGCTAAGAAGAATGTCCCCTGCCTGCTGAACCTCATTATCATGGAAAAGCGTCTTCCCAAACAGCAGAAGTAGCTGGCATAACTATCTCTTCCCAGAACCTGATTGTGCTTATAATTCACTCTGGCTACCACCGTGGCAGTTTCTACTGAAGTCTGGGAGGTGTAGATCAGCAAAGAGAACTCTCTGCCTGTGTATTAATCCCCTTGATATTTACATCTGGTTGTATTTTCAGCTGGCCCATATTCTTAGTCAGTAGGATAATGTACAAAAAAAATAACCCTTTCACTGGTCTCAAGGTATTGGCTAATGCCAATTGGCTCTAACTAATGGGGCTAGGAAGAAGCTTCCTCCATGGGCAGGTTATTCCATCGCTGACCACTAGGAGTTTCTTGCACCCTTCTAGGTTCATAAAGTTTAAGTCTAGAAGGGACAATTAGATCATCTAGTCTGATCTGCTTGTCACAGGTCATTAAATTTCAGGCAATTACTCCTCCTTCTGAAACATCTCATTCTTGTCACCATCAGAAAACAGGATGCTGAGCTAGAAGGACCATTGGTCTGATCTGTCCTGGCAATTCATATGTTTCTATGGAGGCATAGCCTAAGATCTGGTTAAGCAAGTGGATTAATTTTTGCTGGAAATTAGTAAAAATATTTAACATTTCCTGTGAACGTTTCCTGGGTTTTGGGAAAAGGCAAAAAAGCGGGGGGGGGGGGGATTTTTCTTTTTTGGGAAAAATGGTGGGTTTTAGGAAGTGAAAATTTTCACCTGTAACTGTATAAAAAAGAAATTCAGTTTTTCATCGGAAACCACACTGAAACTGTCCAAATGTTTTTTGCCAAAATAATATTTCAACAGAAAAAAGTTGGTCAGCTGCACATAACATGCATTTGGAGATGTCCAAACTGGATGTCCAATTCCAATTAATTTTAATCAGAATTAATTAACTTCAAGGCTTACCAGATACTGTGGAGCAATTTTGCAAATGCCACCCAAATTGCACGATCAAGGAGTCCAGTTACTTCCCAAGACAAGAATATCAGTGTTTGTGTTTGTTGCATTCGGGCCATTGTAGCGCCCCTACTGAGGAAGCAGGGAGCTGCCAGAGTGTCAGCCTGCCTGAACATGTTGCCTTACCACTATGTTCCTGAGGGTTTACACAGGAGGGGGGGTCATGGACCCTGGGGTACATGAGTTTTTTCTCCTTGTTGCAAGGGAACCCAGAGCTGGTATACATCTGGCAGAGCCTTCAGAGAGACAGCCTAGAACAAAGGTCCAGTGTTACCAGTGCAGACTGCTTGGTACTGTTATGCTGGGATGTTGGGCCAAACCTCATTGAAGCTGGTGCATGTAACCACCACTGTTCATTTCAGGGCAAGCTTCTTGCAATGGGGTGTACAGGCCCCACCCTGAAAAGGAGAGGTTAATAGGACCCAGTTGGCCCCATCCTGCTACATCTGCAGCAGTTGTTAGGTGCAAAGAGGGGAGTTAAAAAGAGACAGCACAGCTCCATTGGTGCCTGACCAGGAAGGAGAGCTCTGTCTCTCCATCCAGAAGTGCTCTGCCATGATGGAGGGGCCGCCAAGCCAAATTTCAGTGATTGGCCTAACTTGCGACCTGGCACATGCAGCACCACTCATGTTTGCCCTGGTGGCCTCTTTGTTGAAGCACTGGGCCAAACCTAAGTAGTGCTGTGATCCCATATGCCAGGTCACAACGCAACTTGGTTTGGGGGCCCTCGCAAACAGAGGTCCATGGGCAAACGGCCCTGTGTGCCCCCACCCACTTTGGGTGGCCCTCCACCTGCCAAGGGTACTCACCCTGTTTATGGTTGCAGGTGCTGCTGTCTTCCACTGCAAGAGGGGTCAGGTTAAAGGCAGGGGTCTAAGGCAACTTGCTGGTGGGCTGAGCCTCCCAGTGGATAGAATGATCAGGACCAGGGAGACAGAACAAAGGACTGGTTGTTTGAAGAGCGGCTCTGAGGAGAAGGGCAGGGTCCTGCCAAAGACATACCAGATGCTCTATTTTGAGTTCATAGTTTTCTCTTATTTCTGGACTTTAATACCCTGGAAAGGCTGGGGTTTGCAGGTGCCAAGAGCTAAAGTGCCACTGCATTGGACCCTGTGGAAGATGGCAACTGGCCATGGGGGACCCTGCGGCAGAATAAGTAGTGTCACATTGGGCCACTAGGGGGTGCTACAGAGGTGAGCCCTGTCACACTGCTTTATGGAACCAAATATTGTAACCATAGAAGCCACCACTCAAAACACAGGCTCATGGCAAAGCATGAGTATAACCTGAGTCATGTGGCTCAAGGTGGTTTTCCTAGAGACTAATATAGTAAACACAGTTGTTGGGGCATTGATTGGTGAGTTGTGTCTGTGTGTGTATATGAGAGAGAGAGAGAGAGAGAGGAGGAGGCAGCAGGAATGCAGAAGGACATAGAGAAGGAGCAAAGAAACCCCAGACGTAGCCAGAGAAGCCCAGGTAGGTGATCCTAAAGAAAGAAGCTAAGAAACTTTTCAGCAGAGTGTTGGCTGAAAGAGGCTTGGGACTGTGAGCAAAGAAACGATCTCATGTTCTTTGAGTCTCCTGTGTTCAGGGAAACAGGACTTTTCACATTCTTTGTAAGTGATCCGGGTTGCATCAAAGAAATAACTGACTCCATCAATTTCTCCTAACAGAAACAACCTGCTAGACCCGGAAACTTGGCTAGCTGCTCAGGTCAAAAGGCATAGCAATATGTTTTCCTTTAGTGCAAGTGGCAGAGCGCTGTCTGCTCTACGGCCTGGGTTCAAATCGTGCTGCTCCACCAGGCAGGCAGGGTTGTGACCTGTGCATAACTGCATGCAGAATTTGGGTTTACAAATACCACGAGCGGTTGCAGGTGCGATTGTAAACGGCACATGCAAATCAGATGCACAAATGCCCATGGAATTGGCTGAAAATGTAGAGCTTGGGGGCTAAATGTCAATGATTTGCAGTAATAGCATCCCTCTCGGTGCTGGTGATTTGTTTGTTTTCAAGGCAAAATGGATAGTGTCGATTTTTCTGCTCCCTTTCCAAAGAAGTTCCCAGTGGCCGGGTGAAGAAGAACTGTCTGGTCCCTGATGACAAGGGGTTAACCTCAGCGCGGCATCACCTACCACTTCCATAGGTACTCAGGGTAAGAATTGCAACCTGGCTGTTTTGGAGACCGGAGGGGAGAGGAAGGGGTATGTGGAGTCCACTCACAGAGATCATAGGCCTAGGCCAGGGGCAGTTTTCCATCACTCCTTTTTGTTTGTTCCCTTGTATTGATTTCTGCTTAGCAACATTCTCGCGGTGGTGAAAAGCCCTTGCTGACTGCCCTTGCACTGGGTTTCTGCTGAGTTCTTTCACTAGTCTCACACGCTTCAAAGGGCCAGTGCCCCCATTGGTGTCAATCATCATAATGACACTGAAGTCAATGGAGTTGTGCCACCTAAGGAGCTGGCCCAGAGTCTAACCATACATATTGTGTCAGTGGTGTGCAGAGACGGGCCTCTATTTTTCTCCCCAAACATCCCCCTATACAGATGCTCCCTGACTTACGCAAGCGTTCCGTTCCAGAACACCTTGCGTAAGTCGGTGACGTATACCCGACAATTACGCAATAAATAAATAAATAAATAAATAATCGCGTACAGAACCCGTAAGTGCGGGTTTGCGTAAGTCGGGGTTTGCGTAATCCGGGGAGCGTCTGTATGGCTTCCTTATATCAGTGGATACAGATAAAGAATTGGCTCATGCCTCCGAATAAGTCTATACACAGGGAGAGTGTTCTTTAGCACCCAGCCATCTCCTTTACCAGCCCTTCATCATTACCCTTTACCTAGCTCCCTAGGGAGCTAGCCCCATAGATATCAACCCTCTGCTGGAGATACCGTAAATAACAGGAGTTAGCAGCAAGCTACCGTATTATCTACATAGGCGGCAAGGTTGCTCTTCCCAGCACGTGGGCTGTATACGGCATCTGTCCTGCAAAGCCCACTCTCAGCACAGGGCAAGCCAAAAATAAGTATCCCAATGATCCTCTTTTCTCACTCTTTGAGGAGAATGTGGCCGTTCATTTCAAGGTGACCCTGCTGAGCAGAGGAGCAGGCTTCACTTTTGATAGATTGCGAACCTTTGGCTCCTTCTTAGTTCTAGGGAGCTGAATTAGTGACACAATGAATGGAGCTTTAGCTGTATTCTAAACAAATAATTATTCAGCCATTGGCAGCAACTGCCCAGGGTCAGGTGTTTCTGGGGGTGGTGTGTGTGTGTGTGTGGGGGGGATGACTTTGTGTGTGCTGATGAGACAGCCAATGGGATTAGCTCTGAGAGGTGATGTTGGAGTTTTCATTAACCCAGCCTGGTTGATTATGCCAGGTAAATCAGCTCAGATAAAGCAAGTACCAACCTGAACCTGTGAGCCTTAACCCGCTTATTCCAATCCACTCCCCACCTTCTCTCAAGCCCTGGGAAAGCACAGGGACTGCAGTATCCAGGTGAGATGGAAAGAAGCTCTATTCTGGCGCATTGCTGACACTATAGGCCAAAGTGCTGACTGTCTTCTCCGGGGGCCGCACTCACACACAAAATAGGAGCGTGGCATCTTGCATGAGAGGGCACTTGGAAAGGAAGAGCAAGGACCCACTTTTGTCCCTTGTGTCCCTGGGAGGGGAAGGAACCCACTCCTACTCCCATAACACCACAGACAGATGTCATGGGGACAGGGAGAGGATAAATAGATAGGTATGGAACCCTTCTGCCAGGTATTGATGGCAGCAAAAAGAGGTGGGTAAAAAAATATTTAGGAACTCCTTTTAGAAAGTAACACAGACAATAACTCCAGCCCACAGCCAAACTAACTTTTATTTCAGTTCTGGGAAAATACAATAACTCCCCCTGGACACCCTGAGCAGGCAGTTCTTCCCCACAAACGCTACATTTTGGAATCTAGATCAGGAGCCTTTTACTGAAGAGAAAAAGAACACTAACAAAAATAAATGTGCAAAACTCAGTATTTAGCTCCATAAAAGCAAGAACCCCAAATTGACCGACTAGGAGTTATTTCTTTACATTCCGCCTCTTTGGCCTGGTCTACACTAGGCGTTTATGTCGAAGTTAGCGCCGTTACATCGAATTAACCCTGCACCCGTCCACACCGCGAAGCTATTTAGTTCGACAAAGAGGT